TACTACTACTACTAATAATAATAATAATAATGTTCAAAATACTACTACTACTACTACTACTACTACTACTACTACTACTACTACTACTACTAATACTAATAATGTTCAAAATAATAGTAATAATAATAATAAGGCAAAACCCCTTCGCATCCCTCTTTCCAAAATTTTGTTATTCAAATAGAATAATTTATCCTCCTCCCCCTCAAGCCAAAACAAACAAACTATAATCTTAAATATTTTCTTCTTTCTTTAAAAATTGTTTTTACAATACCTTTTTCTATAGCAAAGTATATATTCCCAAGTAGGCGCTTAATATACTTAAAAATATTATACTACAAATTAAGACTTATCTAATCTTAATATTTAATATTTTACAAATTATTATTATTATTATTATTTGATGTTGTCCAAATTATTAAACAGTACTTAAAAACGTTATATATATAACATAAGGATAGATCCACTTATATACAAGTCTTACATATCATATTTATACAAAATCTTAATCATTTATCTTTTTATTTTTAATAGTTGAGATATATAATGATTTTTTAGTATAATGATTTTTTAGTTGAAAAAATAATTATTTTTAATAAATATAAATAAATCTCAACCACCGAAAGTAGAAAAATAAATAATTAAAATTTTATATAAATATAATATATAAGATTTGTGTATAAGTTATTCCTAATGTGTATAACATTGCACTTTTTCTGTGTGTCCCTCTCTAGACTTTTTCATCTTGCTCCTAAACTGCCAGCAATTTACAAGTATACCCTCCAAAGGAAATTTCCATGCATTGTAGGAAAACCTAATTTTTTCTGGGGATCAAATTCGGTAAGGGCCTATAAATACATGCATATGAAGAGTGCAAACTCATATGAATAAGAGAAAGCAATAGGCTTATTAAGCTATATCCAAGAAAAGAAGAATTGGGGGTACCTTGTCGCAGAAGGAATAGCACCGGCTGTATAGCTCTCTTTCGATGATTGTTGCTGCCTCTCTCATGGCAAACGCTAAGCTGCTTGCCGGTGTATTCCTCCTGTGACGAGATGCCCTGCAACTTCTTCTCCTCCATGTATGTATATATTTCTTTAGTTAATTCACAAAACATGCTATGAAATCACACGTTTCTTTTCTGGAAATTAACCCTTCTTTTTCCTTTTCTTTGCATACATCTAGTTCTCTCTCTCTCTCTCTAGATCTTTTCTCATTATGCAATTATGTTTTTTTTTTCTCATTCATGCGATTAATTTCTTTTTTTTTTTTGCTACATATTTTATACTCCCTCTGTTATTTTTAATGGATTTAATTTGATTTTTTGACTTTAAAATATAAAATTTAGATGAAAATTTACCATTCTATATTAACAACAATTGAAAAAAAAAATTTCCTATGTATTGTTCTTGTTAAGTATTTTTATTTGATAAAAAAAATTGATTTTATTTATATAAATTATTAAATTTTCATTTAAAATTTATGTTTTAAAAGTTAAAAAATTAAATTAGATCTATTAAAAATGAATAAAAATGGTATATGAATGTATAAAATGCAATATAATTAGTGTGTTAGTTCTGCTGGGGAACGTCGTAATTGGGATATACCAGGAACTTAAAACTTGGTTTTGGGCACAGGTAAACCTAAACTCAACTTATTCTATGTATATATAGATATATGCATTTTATTTTTATCAGAATTTTATACTTAGTACTATACAAACATCAATGTGTACACAAAATTAGCGCAGAATCAATGATAAAGTGAAGATCTTCTTCACCACTTCCCCAAAGAGCTGCGTGTGTTCTCACTTTTTTTTGATCTCATCATCCGCCAGCGCTGCGTGTGTTCAGCAACGAACAGCGCGTAGGCTTCATTCTCCAGTTGCTTGCTCGCCACTAATGATGGGTGGATTCTTGCACCCTTGGCTACGACAAGTTGACCGCCGTCTAACATACAGTGAATGTTGTTCAACAAAGTCTTAAGCTTTCATCAAGGTCCCGCCGGCCGCATCATTTTCCTCACAACTTAATCTTTAAGTTAATTATATGGCCAAAAAAGAAACCCTATGTTGTATAATATATTAATTAATGGTAGTCTTTGTTTCTTTTTCATTCGAGTGCTCAAACATATCTACACATGTATATATATATATGTGAATCAAATTTTTAATGATTTAAGTATAAGATTTTTAAATTAAAATTTTTTAATTTTAAATACTAATTAGATATCTCATCATAAAAGAAATTTTTTTTATTTTTTATTTTTCTGATTCTTTTGTTTATAACTTTACCGATCTCCCCAACGGAAGGAAATTTACTTTAAGTCGCGATCTTTCTGTTTTCTCTGGACTGAAAACTTTCTAATTTTCTAGCTAGAAAATGACAACTGACAAGAGAAAAAGAAAGTTGAATCAATCAATATTGGCTTTTCTCTAGACTGAAAACCTTCTAATTTTCTAGCTAGACAATGACAACTGACAGGAGAAAAGAAAAGTTGAATCAATCAATATTGGCTTTGGTTATTTGGAACATATTTATCAAGTACAACTTCCTCAAATATTGTGATGACCATATAATTATGTTGTAGTAATCTTTCTATTTGAATGGGTAAAGCATTAACGAAATTACTACCAAGCTTCATTAATGACTAGTTATAAACGTTCAACTTCTTTTGAATAATTCAGCATTGAATCACATGCACTCAGGTCTTTTTGTCTCCCCTGTCCAGACTGCTTTTGCACAAGAAATTAAGCAACAATGCACTTTTTTTTTGCAGTTGTTGCAACAACAGAATTGCACTCTTCTTATTAAAAACTTAAGTAATTTAATAATAGTAATATTTTTTTAATAAAAAAATTTTAAATTCAAGTTTCTAAATAAAGAAAGTTAAAAAATATTTAAAAAAAAAGGTTTTCAAAAGGTGTAGCCTTCTTTTATTTTATACCATGGCTTGAATCACAGCAATATTATGATTTAACCTCCACTCCATCTCCCAAATCGCCCATTGTTTACAAAAATGAAAAAGGAAATTGAGCAATAATAATATTTGTCACTCGACTCTATATCATAGAAAAACATAAAGATATGATATCTTATCTATTAGATCGAGTGATTTTTGTCATCTGATTAAGGTATAATTTTTTTTTTTTTTTTGAGGTTAGATTCAAGTCCCCATTATATCTTGTTAAAAATATATATATATATATATATATATATGAAATGAATCAAAATTTGATTTTTTGTTTTTTTGGTATTTTTGTTTGAGTCTCAAATTAACATAGCCTATTAGGTGAAAGGTCCCATCACTTTCCGAGGAAGACCCCGCCCATAAGCCCAGAGTCTAGAAGCACTCTCTAAGAACTTGCAGGTGGTCCCCTTATGAAACATCGATTTTGCCAAAACCAATATTAGAAGCTACAGACCAAAACAAAGTCAAAATCTGAAGCTACCATTGTGTATTCGAATTTGAATATCTAGCCCTTCTTCAGATTAATTTAATTGATGCTCCGGCCGTCATGAATCATGACGTCAATTTATATGCGTATAAATTACTTGTAATTTTCTTTGATCTGCCTATGTTATAGATTAATTAATTAAAATAAAATAAATTATAAATATTTCTCTCTTAGTTGTTTCCCTGTTGAGAACATAATAAATAAACAAAATAATTTATTCTAGCCAGCACTAGTATGTAGCCGTATTTGTTTTCAACGGTAGGGAGTACATATCTCGAGGCAAACGTACGTACTTACACCTCAAAATTTAATCCCATAAGTTTGTTACCTAATATATGTATTTGCAGGTTATCAATATTATTATGTAATGATGTTATAAGCAATTGTAAGAATTGAATTTATTGATGAATAATAAGTTTCATTTTATATGATAATTAATAATGTACTATGAGTTTAAAATTTAAGTTATGAAATTAACAATGAAAAGGATTCTTAAGATAATTAAATAATAAGTTTTTTGTTGTATAATAATGTTGTATGATAAGTTTAAAATTTAAGTTTTAAAATCAACAATTCAAGATGCTTTTTTTTTTTTTATAAGAAATGAATTATATTAAATAATAAAGAAATATAGAAGAAACTCCATTGTAGGGTATATAGCCTAAAGCATTATAGTCTAAAGACACAATTAGAAGCATAACCTACATAACCTATAGAACTAATAACAAGTTTAAATTATGCCCATAACAAATATAGATAATTAAGTAAAGAGAGTCAATTGCAATTAGAAATTGCAATTGCAATTGCTGTATGAGCTAAATAGGGTTACGAATGTAGAAAAAAAAGTTTTTTGGAGCATTAGAAGTTATTGAACTTTCTCACCTATTTAACCAGCTTCATAAGGAAAGCAGGGGATTTTGACAACAAACAGTCCCCAACTTGCAAGTTGCCACCTTATCTATTCCTAAAAATTAACCAACAGAGAGAGGGGCATGGCCCCCCTGTGCAAGCACAATGCACTAGTCTTTAATAATGTGCTTACCTTACAGAACACAAGCGGCCACATCATCAATATCTGGTTCCGTATAAGAACCAGGCAGCCCAGTTGCCATTGTGCACTCTGCAATGCACTCCTGAACATGTTCCCATCCTTTCCAAACCTTTGCAAACCCATACCATCGAAACCCATTAAGGGAACTAGAGCCCCTTTGCCGGCTTGAGTATCATGCGCCCCGTGCAAACTGTAACTGGCTTCACCCACAACATCCCTTGCCCTCCATAGTCAATAGCCTGATTGGAAATTAGGAAGAAATAGCTTTGTTGAATTTGGCTTCCGTTGAAATCCCATCTGAGGAGATATGCCAAATTGAGGTTCCTACTCGTTGAATAGGAGAAGCCCAATCCACTACTATGATCAAATCCCTCGGTGTTCCAGACACAACCTTTGGAAATCAACCACAGAGGTAGATCTAAAAACGTCACTACCTTGTGGTCCCTTAGGCTGAAGTTTCTAAAGCAAAACAGTCGACGAAGGTGGAGGAGAGATCAAGAAGGGAAAGATAAGGGTAAGAAGAAAGTAGGAAAGGAGGAGCTCCGATGCCAGAGAGAGACCCTAGGGAGAAACCCGCCACCTCTGCCTTCAACTTTAAATAGAGCACCAGAGAATATCACAATTCAAGATATTTGAGTTTAAATTTTAAGTTTTAAGATCAATAATTCAAGATTTAATTACCAAGATGATATTATTATAACTCATATCTTTATTGAATTTCTTATTCCCTAAGTTAAAATGATTCCGGAGAAAAAGGTAGTCTCAACGTGCAACATGCTTAGATTTAATTAGCAACATTCTTAACTATAATATAAGAAAAGGCCAGAGCCGGAGCTTTTCCCTGAGTTGTGTTTTTCACTTTTACCTCCCCAGATTCCACCTTCCCCAAATCCTTCTAGTAGGAGGGAAGGAATATTTGGCGAGGGAATTGCTTTGAGAAAAACATAATACAGGGAAGATCTAGGCTGAAAATCAGGCCAATGTTGTTGGTACCGGCCGGCCACACACATTCCCCCTTAGGAAGGAACTCAATATATGGATCTCATCAAGAAGCAGCGAGCTGCAGGAAAGGAGAAATTCATAGGGACTACTGTCGCAGGAGAGATGCTAACTTCTGCAATGATATCATAAGTTTGAGCAGTAGTGAGCGTCTTTCCTCGACTGTAGCCCCTGCAATCTCTTCCAAATTCTTTCTCATATATATGCGCTCGCCGGAGCGTATGAGTAGCTGCAGATTAAACCATGGAGGGGTTCGATTTGTCGAAGGAAGAAATTAAGAAAACCAAGATTTCTGCAGAGATCCATACCTTGCACTCTAAGTTTGTGAGTAATTTCTAGAGATATATGGTGTGTAGGGATTAATTCTTTAACCAAATCCTCTCTTCTGTTATACTGAATTTTAGTGCATTTTTTTATCATCCTACTTTCCGCCAATATATAAATGTGTCTTTCATTGAATTGTTTCGAATTTAAAGTTGAATGATTCTTGGCACAATTATAGCAAAATACTTCTGTAATTAGTCATGGAATCAAATCATTTGTTAGTATATTTGCTAAAACAATTTCTTTACTGTGTATTTTTAGGGTTTTTAACGAAGGGGTTAACTGTTTCAAAAGTAATATATATTTTAGTAGGAGGAAAATGATTGGATAAGAGGTTTTGTGTTCCAGTATCATAACCATGAGGCTGAAGTTGTCAAAGGGATCCAACAACACCCTCCAAGGTTAGTGCTTTTGCTTGGCAAATGATACAAGACAGGATTGCTGCTAAACCAAATCTTTTTAAGAGAGGTATCTTATATGATCATAATTTTCTTAAATTGGATTCTGTAATGAGTATGATGAGGATACAAAACATCTTCTTGCATTGTAAATTTGCAGAACCAAGGTGTGGTATTTGTGCTACCAATGTTGGGGGATTGTGCCGGTTATGGCTGGTGGCCTTCTAGAATCTTTTCAATAGTTATGGCTTGGTTATGAACAAAAAAGGGAAGGAGGGATGGCATATAGTTTGGTTTTCAGTGGTTCGAGCTTTATGGCTTGCAAGAAACGAAAGGATTTTCAATGATGGTGCTGCAGATGAAAGGATGGTTTTGAACTATAGTGCAGCGCTAGCTAAGGCCTAAAGGCTTTTCTTTGGATCACGAGGAGATCCAAGAGAAAACGCAATTTCATCTTCAATATTCAATGACACTGGCCGGCTACAGGATCCAGTAATATGTTCTAATATAGTTGGCAGGAAAAAATAGAGGATGGAGGCCAGGATTTTAAGGGATGTTTTGCTTAGATGTGTGAAGGAATTTTTTATGGCTACCTGTAAGGATCGATTTTCAGCATGTTTGTGTGATTGTAACGCGGGTTGGATACTGCTTATACTCTGTTTAATAAAAATTTTTGGCCATTTAAAAAAACATATCATATGATATTTTTGGTTAGAACTACATACATTTATACTAAATTTTTCTTCTTAAATTTAATCCTAACTAGTTATTGAATCCTAAACTTAAAAATTTCATGAAAAACTATCTTCTTATTGTACTTTCCATTTTCATTCTCTGAGAATGAAATACTTATCAACGGAGAGAACAAACAAACTCCTTAGGGTAAGTACAGGAGTCCCAGAGTCAGGATTTTCCTCTCCCAACAGTATAATAATTAACTGTTTCAATAAAATAAAATAAAATAAAAACAACAACAGCAGCAGCATAAACGGCGAAGTATCTCTTCCCACAATGTCTCTACAATTGTAAGGACTGGGGAGCCTCCGATAGTTTTCCGTTTTTCCTTATTTATTTTGTTTTTTGATGAGCAAGATTGATAGTTTTTCTTTTTTCTTTTTTTTTTTCTTTTTTTTTGGTTGGTATAATTTTTTAGAAGACGCTTTTGATCTTATACATTACAAAGGAGTCTCTCTTATAATCTTCGTTAATGAATTGAGTAAAATAATATAGATTATGATAATTTGGTATAAAAAGTG